GTCTACTATAGAATAATACCGTCGCTGATTCAACACGCTTTTGAAGACTCAAACAGTCTAAGAGTCAAGTCAAAAAAGTGTTCAGTTCAACTGCACACGATTTTGTTAAACCTTACCCAGCGCCATTTGATCGCAAAAGCGTGCTCAGTTGACGCGAATTGAACACGGGATCGTAGGATTCCGTAGTAAAACAAAAGCGTGTGGATTTCGCGAGACCGGTGTCGCCAGTTGAACACGGAAAGGGAAATACGCGGGCTAGCTATGAGGAGGGTATGTTTAATGAGAGTTCTATTCTAATAACTTTTTATAGACTGCCAAACTAAATGACTATTAATCAGATAATGTTACTTTACGAATACATACATTGAAAAACATATTAAAACTAACGCAACTCTAATACATTTAATTAACCCATTAAACATTGATATAAGGACACCGGAAAATTATACAGTTTTCTTTTAAGGTCTCAAGCAGTTCCTCAAATGATATGAATTCAAGTTAAATAATGTAATTAGTCGGTATGCTAGTTACGTCTGAGTTTTTATGATGATATTCATTATTCAGTTTTAGTTTGTTATTGCTGTTTGAATTACGTACAATAAAAGTGCAGACTTTGCTAAAGCGTTTGCAAAAATATAGTGAAATGTTGATTGGTTGTGTTATCTTTTCGAATTGTGACTAATTGTGTCTGTCGCTTTTATGTGTTATTACTATTGATATGAATAGTATTAAATGTCTGTGTTTTAAGAGACGCTTTATAGTGAATTAGTTGATTCTTTTCATAGACATAAATCCTGTTCTCTTTGTTACTAATTCGATAAACTCTCGTACGGGCTTCTATTAAGGAAATTCACTCTAAGTCATCGTTATTGTTTCCAATATTTTTAAGTATTTTACCTTACTGTGTTTTCCTAATCATATTGAACCTCTGAATATATTGATGTGTGGAAAAGCCAGAAAACAAATTAATCTGAATTTCTAAATACAATATACTCTAGTCGTCTAATCAATTATAAACACGTCCAAATACTACAAAACAATTCGATTATCATACACTTAACCGTTTTGCATTTCCTTGGACCAATTCGCCTATCTTATCACGAGTTATCTTATCTCTCCTCTGTTATTAGGATTGTACGCAAACTTCATTCAACCAGGCGTCTGTACACACCTGTTGGTCCTTTTGAGTTTTAGTTTTATTTTGAACATGGTTCCCAGTGCGTACCATCATTTCAATATTACTCGTGAGTGCTACGTGAGTCACGAACCCACAATTACAAACTTACATTTAGTTCCATCGTCATTTCATTGTAGTGTTTGATATGATGAGTACAATGAGTGACAGTGAGAGAACAGTGCAGTGCTGCAACTATAAAAACAGTTTTGATTTAAATATCAGCGATGTTAGGTATAGTTTTCAAAGGAGTTGGGTTAAAACTAAGAAGTTTAGTCATAGAGTTTTCGGAGCTAACAGGTGAGTGAACTGCGAATTAGAGCAAAAAGTTTATTCTGCCCGATGCTTGTGGTTTTTATTACTTTTTATGAACCGAGGATAAATCCTAAAACTGCCTAAAACATACATTTTTTTATAAATCAATCCATCCAGAACATATCCAACAATACCAAATTCGCATTAATTCAAGTGCGTGTAATAATCGACAGCTCTTAAAGATCGTAGTGTGTAACTGTTTAGTGACGTACATTCATGCCACTTAGTATGTTATTGTTTATGTCTCACATACTATCGAATGACTCACATAAGGTGATTTGAAACTCAATATTTCGATACTGACCAAGTGTAGTACGTATCTTCAATCAGGTTATTCCACCGTTGATTTATTAGGTTAAGAGAAAGTTGTCTTTTGTTACCTACTACGCAAGTGCTTAATAATCTAACTTTGGACATTCACTTTTGGCTTTGTTCATCTTAAATTTTTAGGCCTATATTTTAGAGAGGCTGTTACGAATTTGATACCTTTAGTTTCCTAAGCTCTTTTAAAGGTGAAAGTCTAGAAGAGGACTCGGTAAAAAATGAACATTAGTTACCTATTGGACGTGATGTCACCCAAAGATAAATACTTTATTAACTTGGTATAGTTATAAGCCAGCTACCACAAAACCAATCACGTGATAAAGGAAAATAATTATTACTTATTCTAAAGCCTGTGCTTTTATGGTGCTGTTCATTAAATGGAGAATGCATGCGATTTGCGGCTTTATAGAAAGCACTAAAATAATTCCCAAATATGTTTTCCGAAACATAAAGTCAGCGTAGCAATTTTGCGGTTATTTCAGCATTTGTCTTGTTATCGCCATTTGTGGCCTGAATTCAATTTGTTTTGTTTTGAACATTATCTTGAGATTGTCTCTGAAGCTACATAGCTATGTCTGGACATTCGAAGATTACGTTGTCTTCATGGTCCGTCAAATTGGCTAAGTTTGTCTTAACGCCTGCGTCCACTCTCAGTAGGTTTTCAAATTTCTGTTGCTACAACTTGTCTTAATGTTTCTTGCTCACACATTGTATGTGATAGATAGAAATGGACATGTTTGATTATAGAAAAGAATACTTCTGTAAATATTGGGACACATTAACCTAAGTTCTCTAACAGATTCAAGTAAAATTATTGTCAATACCATTATCATTTCCAGTAACAGATTATATTATGATACTTCAGACATAATTAGATACTTCGTAATGAAATTATCAATTTATAATTACTCATCAAAATCAAGTACTTCAGCACGTATTTGTAACACTTGGTTGTCGTTATCCAAGGCTTGAACTTTTACAGCTGAGATTGCGTGTTCAAATACCTATCAACTTTTATCCCCCATTCAAGAGCCCTTGCTATCAAATTGTAATGTAAATAATTTTCAAAGGTATATTTGGAGCAAATTTATCATCTCGTTATTCTATTTTCTCATTAAAATCGAGATTGGGGATTCTCTTTTTATTGATCTTGTTTGTGATAACTTTAGACGAGGGTATTACAAACATCTTTAAATTTCTCGGAATTCAAAACATAATAGCGATAATAACAACAAAATGTTTATCGATTTTCATCCCAACCCTATCATTAACAGTGGTCGAATCGATTTGAGAACTCGTTTGCTTGTTCGGTGACTCAAGAAGGTTTTGATTCTTGGAAAAACCGGACAGGACCGACACACGTTGCCTTTGGCGGCAACACACGTAACTTCCGGTTCTCGGAATGTCCATATCCATATACTGGTCATTTTTGCATATCTCTCTGTTTCTTTCCAGTTTTTGCAATATCAATCTTGTAACTGTAGCCATTAAGTTCAGTTTTGTAGAGAAGAAGATACATGCGTGTGTTTTGAAGTAATGGGTTTTTACGTTGACCTTGACATTATTTTTTAATTTAATTAACAATCGCGTGTTGATGTGCCTTTTTTTGATAATTTATGGTTTATGATGGTTAAGAATGTCCGTTACATTAAAGGGCGAGCTTGAATCCTAAGGTTCCTTTATATCGAACCTGTTTTTATGCTTGTATGTTTTAGGTTTTTTGAAATCTACTTCTTGTTTCTAAGGGTGTTCTTGCTCTTCTGTCTTTACGTATCTTACATTTCATGTCTTACTAAATAGGAAAATAATGTCATCACGTTCAGTTCTTTCTCTACATTTTACTTTCATTTATTTGTTCTCATTATTATCTTCAATTACAAAGTCTGCTATTAAAATATCAAGTTTAACAGTACCTGAATTCTTAAATACGTATAAAGCTGCATAAAGACCTATTCTCATTGAATCTCTTGCGATAATGACTATTTCATTATCTCTAGTTCGCATGACGCTAAAAAAAATCATAACAAAATGTTTGTACAGCTATTACGCAAATTGTACCGTTTGTACCATTCTTATAATTGTTTATTTGGCACTCTAACGGTTGACCCGTAAACTTGTTTTCTTACTTACTTATTACCCATCTGTTACTTTTTATGTCTCAACTGTACGCTTAATTGGGCAAAAAAAGCACATTAGTGCTTGATTTCGGGCGTTAAAACAATTGCGATTAATTTTTATCTAGCGTTGACAATATTTATTGAGCTTATGGGCTTGATGCTGACATGGACTAATGTTATGTTTTAGTTCAATGAATTTACGTTATTTGTGTGTGTTGTTAAGGTACCAAAAAAATCAAGGCTTTAATCAGTTTTTTGGATTAGTCTATCTAATCTTGCTAATGTGAGTGCGTTGGTTCAGTTTTAAAGTACCAAGTTAAATCTATAATGAAATTAGTTTGTTCTGAATGTTATGTTGAAGTATTCCAAAGAATTTCTTTCGTCTCTATTCTGAAGTCCTTCATTAAAATGGCAAGTGTCGTTATTGTACATCTCGAGCTGTTAACAATTAGTGCTACGGAATTATGAACCTTTTGCGTCACAGTTTTACAGTTGCGTTATGCTTGAACGTCTTTTGAACCGTAAAGTGCATGGTTCGACGACCGCTCCTGGTGAGTTCAAGGACGGTGTAATGATTTTTATGTGTTGTTGACAAACCAATTGAATAGGTAATCAATGTTTGTTTACCGATACTTTATCAGGGATCTCAGGCCTGCCGTACTCGGAAGCGTTAATAAAATTATCTTATCAACTTTTTTTGGGAACATTGCGTTTATAAATGTACTGGCTTTATCAAATGCGTGAAATATTTTCTTTAAATTGTTACTTGGATTAGAGTTTGTTCATGTATATTTATTTCCAATTTATAACAATTAATTGAATGTGCAAACATAAAAGCTATGACGTACGATCCATGTAATAATAGAATGTCTTTTCTAAAACATGTTTTGTGTGTCGCAATATTGTATGAAGCGCTCGCTAATTTCGTCACTGCTTTCACGGCAGTCGTGGCCGAGCGGTTAAGGCGTCTGACTAGAAATCAGATTCCCTCTGGGAGCGTAGGTTCGAATCCTACCGACTGCGAATACTTTTTGTGTTTTTTGTTAATTTTTTTTATTCGTTTGTTACAGTTTGCGTAGAGGTGCGGGTGTGAATGTACAAGATGATAACGGTTACACACCGCTTCATCAAGCATGTTTGAATGGACATCGGTAAGTTTTGATATAATTTATATTTTTATTAAAAAATATATATTTTATAAAATAAGGTTTATGTAGTAAGTTTTAAACTTTTTCCTCCTCAATGCTAATACCTATTTATACATATATAGACTGGATACTGGATAGTGACGTCAGGAGACCAAACAACCGCAAACAGAATGTTAAATGGGAAAATCTATTTGTTTTACCATTATGATTCATGTACAATACAAAATGAGCAATGTAATATAACTCGCTAAAATAGCTTATATTTTTCTAATTGGTACCTTTTGCCATGTTAAATAAGGTGTTGTTTTGAGTGATAAATAAATTATTTTTCATTTTTTTTATTCAATAAATTACTCAAAAGTAAGTACATACAATAAAGTTCTAATTGATAATTTTAGGTTTTAAAGTCGTATAGGAAATACTGATAATTACTGAATATTCTTTTATTAAAAATATTTGATGTTTTGTTTCGAGATAGAAAACATTGTTTTAAGATTTTCTTTAACAAGGAACTTGTTTCCAATCCTTAATACAGAAACTGGTTTCGTGCCCGAGAGATGACTATAGGCTTTCTTATTTTAAATGCACCTAAAAATAACCTGGTACAAGTGCAACTTCTTATTTCATTAAAAACTGTATAAACATACAATTTTTCTTCCATTCTGACTAACCTTGATTTGGTTACTGAGGCTCAGCTTCACAACATGTCGTTAAAAAGTTTCATGTGAACCAGGCTCTTAGTGTTATAAGCGAATGATCCGACACATCTTTCTGTAGAAACATTATGCGATAGTTAAGCTAAGACAAGATATTTATCCCCAAGGGCTGTTTTAAAAGTTCAGCAGAAAATATTATCAAAATTCTGCCTCTATCATCCAGCCATATACCGTCCAAAATTATTGAAAATGGTACCAAATCTTCTTTATGTGTAAGTTAGTAAGACCAAAACTAACCTTTTAATCGTGGTTATTCGAGACACAATATTTGAATAATTGGTTGGCGAACGCCGGCGTTCGCTTGATGAATTAAATCAAAAGTTAACCCAAATATTACATTTTTAGGGAAATAGTCCGCGTCCTACTGTCAGTGGGTGCAAACCCTGGCATAGTGGACAAGAAAGGCGCTACGCCCCTTCACCTGGCCGCGTTCAACGGTGACACCGATGTATGCTGGATGCTCCTCGCTCACAATCCTCCTGTTAACATCGATCAGCTGGTATGTATATCTTACAGTACCTATATAATATAGCGATTGTTCAGTATGCTAAAAATATTTTAGACTAGCTTCACCCGCACGGTTTCACTCGCTGTCCTGCTTCTACAAATTGTAGCGTGATTTTATAGCCTGAAGCCTTCCTCGATAAACGGACGAACGACCACGAAAATTCGAACCAGTAGTTCCGGAGATTAGCGCGTTCAAAGTAGTTCAAACTCTTCAGCTTTATAATAAGTAATAATAAAGATTATAAATCACATCGAAAGGATAGAGTATTAAGTGAGTGTTGAAAATTCATAGGTATTTATATAAAGGTTAAAACTAAAAATATCACCGAGGTATCTTCTTAAGCTTATATAGAAAGACTCCTTATGAAGATAGGTACCTAAAATCGAAATCGAATCTGCTGAGGTGTAAATAAAATAGTACTTACAAGCTTCTCCTCACTTAATACTTATTTTAGAATACGAAACACAATAGTAACTTGTTTAGTATATTTAGTAGTCAAATAATCCCGCAAGATATTCCTTGCGCGTTCTCCATCCGCGTGTCTAGCAAGTTCCAGAACATTCCAAGAATGTTCATTACGTCAGCTTTGCCCTTTTACTTACCAGTTTAGTATACGCCCGGCATACCTGCTTTGAAACATTCCAGGTTTCTAGTGAACAAATAAACCCTTAGCATAATAACTGCTCTTTTATTCCTTGAAAGGATAGGTAGGGATGCACAGTTTATTCTAATACTTGTCCCCGTTGTTATTAGTTTTAAATGTTATAGTAAGTTGTGAATCTATTGTTCTTCATTGGGCGCGAATCCAGGCTTCACAGGTTTTTTGGAAAACCAAAAATAAGTAGGTACGCTTCGCTTCATAATATTTCACTCGATCCGGTTATACAAAACAAAACTAAAAGAAATATCGTTGATATACAAACGTGACCCATTTTAATGCGAAAGAAAATATGTAAATGTATCAACAACGAAAGTGGGAAATAATAGGGGATTCTGATATATGGGCATAGTTGTGCAACAATTCTTCAATAACAAACCTTAACTTTTATATAATAAGGTTATAATTTATATCGAAACTTTTACCAACTATACTTCGTGTGTTACTAAAATATTGTCCGCCTAGTCAGCATCGATTCTTGGACGAAGTATTTTGGGGTATTTGTTTGTGAGGTTTCTTAAAGACTAGACTAGAGAAGGCTGGCGAAAAGCGTACGTGGCTTGAATGTATACCCATAATTTGTACCACGCACGTCTATACATTGGAATAGTTTGCAACTGTCTTCCCGTCCGCGTCCAGTTATAATTCAGGTGTCTTCAAAGCTAGAGTGATCAGGCTCCGCCCGACCAACAACGATTGTATCACTGCTTACCATCAGTTAGGATTGCAGTCAAGCACTATTTTATATGATTAAAAAAAACATTTTTCTATAACTGGAGACCCTTCGAGAGGCGTCTAGCTTTTTGGCGGTCCAGTGCCACCAAGGGTGCATTGTTATCTACAGTATTACGCCGTATGCCTATACGGCGTAATACTGTTGATAACAATATTACGCCGTATAGGCATGCGCGTATGCACCTTGGTAATGTATTACTGTTGTAACATTGAATTACATGTCATTACCATGTCGGTGACAATAGATTATTATAACTAAGATAATTAAATCGCTTGCCCACCGAGTCGATCGATAGCTATTTAAATAGGCCGTGCTTCGGCTTACTTCGAACCGGTCAGTATTTGCAGGGGCGTCGACATTTGAATACGGATAAGATATGGCAAACTAAAGGGCGTGTAGAACACGATTTGCAATAGTTTAACTTACAAATGTGTATATCGAAGATTTGTTAGTTGTTAATAGATTTATTAGGTTGATTTTGGAGTTCGAAGTTTGAGTCTTGTAATGAAACTGGTTCACTTGTCTTGAGTCATTTTGCTATCAAGTTGGTATTGGTTTTAAACGAGTCTGATTCCATTGTAACTGTGTCTATTGTAGTCACTTGATTCTTTTAACTGGAGGCTAGTTCTAACAGGAAATTAGAGTACTTAGGTACTAACTAGTACGTGTTTTTGATTCTGACTGACTGCCCTCAGAAAACTATAGAAGGCAAATCCTCCGCGACGGTCATCGGTGACCTAATTGGCGGTTAATGTGCTAATATTTTTTTTTAATATTGGCCCTCGTTGTGTATTTATCTACTAATTGCAAATACATAAACCACCCAGAATCAAAACAAAAATTTGTAGACCACACAAAGTGCGGGAATCGAAACCATTACACGCTGCACAGCAGTCAGTAGTTATCAAATTTTCCGTTGATTAATCACTCTGTTTACTTGTTTTCTCGCAGACATCAGACCACGAAACCGCTCTACTAATAGCCGCCCAGTTTGGCTTCGTAAATGTGGTCGCACAGCTGATAACCAGAGGAGCTGATGTCACCATCAAGAACAATAATGATGAAAGCGCCCTGGATCTTGCAGCGCAGTACGGCAGGTGAGAATATGTTCTTATGTGTTAGGTCGGCAAATGAGCAGATGGATCTCCTGATGGTAAGTCATCAACGCCGCAACAGAGGAGTTACCGACTTTTTGGGGATTAGGGATTTGGAGATTTAGGTTTAGGGGAGGGATAGGATTGGGTAACCTCATTCACACGGCAAAACACAACGCTGTGATTGTTTCACGCCTGTTTTCTGTCAGGCCGTGGTGTCATTCCGGCCGAGCCGACTCATTCGTGCCAAAGCATGGCTCTCCCGCACTTATAAATGCTTGTTAATTGATTTAAGACTTTATTCCCAAATGATGTGGAAACATGTCCTATTTATGAAGTCATTTTGCATTCCCATTTTTTATATGAAATAACATTAGCACTTAGCAGACAGAAAACCTCTGGAGGTAAGTAGGCAATTTATCACCGCCCCTTAACACTGTTGCAAAAAGTGAGTTGCTAGCATTTTCTGGATGAGAAGAGGCAGTAACCATTTCCGGTTATGATAACCAAACACATTGTTTTATTTAGGGTGTTTGTGAGGCCTTGGTATCACTGGCCGAGCTAGTAGAAGCATTGCATACTAACTTTAAAACTTTCGCGTTCCATATTAACAACATATATCTATTTACTCGGGTATTAAAGCGGAAAAATATTATTTGAATACCTTGGTAGGCTTGACGTTTCGCCCCGGTTGCACAGGTCGTGGTCACAAGCAGACTGACTGACTGGCTTTCCGTGTTAATACCCGCGTAAATAAATATGTGTTGAAGCATTGCATATCCGTAACATTCGAAAAGTCAAACTCACGCAGTAATTATAAGACTAAACGGCCCTTTCTTCCTTAGACTGGCGGTGGTGCAGCATTTACTACAAGTGAGACCGCAACTAGTTGACCAGTACAGATACCCCGCCTGCCGTAACGTGATCTTCACATCAACCCCCCTACATCGTGCCAGCAAAAATGGAAGAAAGTAAGTGTGTTGTTTCTATCTAATATTTGGTTGTTAACATCTATAATAATGTTCACCTAAATTGCGATTATTCGGGTTTTCATTGTCAAATTGTACATTTATCGGATTTTATATCAAAATTATACGGTTGAAAATCGTATAAATAATTTTGACAGTAAAAAGTAGGTTGACCTGCTTGCCATGGTATCCTAGAGTTGTTTAAAAACATTTTTGGCAGAGACTTATTGTCATATACTTACTAAAGTTAAAAGTTATATGAATATGAGTTCGTTTTATAAAATGTAATCCCGGTAGACCGCTAAAGATAGGACAACGAGAAGCCATGTACGAAAGCAAGCTACTTACGAATATGTAATCCGCTACGAGATTATGCGATTACATTAATTAAGTTTTAGTGTTCATTAAATTAATGGTTCGACAAGGTTACACGACTAGTTACAAGCCTCACCAGGGCCCATGATAATGAACAATATAAGTCAAACCAATGCGTCAATCTCCGTACAGTCTAGCTAACGGCGACAGCAGTCGTATATTACAAAAATATTATTTGATTGTCATAGATTAAGAATAAAAGATATACTTAAAAAAACATTAAAGTTTGAGAAAAAATAAGATACTATATAGGTAAATAAGAAATAAATTGTTACCGAACCTACTCAGAATTCAGTGACGACCTCAACCTTGGCGAAAAAACATTTTCCCTTATATTACACACTTCTAATTTGATCTAGAAATAATTTCTTGTGAACATAAGAAAGCTTTCTCCCAGGCCGAATACATACTATATTATTTATGTTATGGTAATGAAAAAGACTTCTTCAGTCACCTTATAGCTTTGGCTTACTAGCTTTTTTACCTACGGCTTTGCCCGCGACAAATTTACTAGTTATTTTGAATAGCCAAAAACTGATACTTTTCTGTGAACTTTGTACGATATTGTGTGTTTTGACGTCACGTTTTTTGTTGCGTCAAATGGCGTACTTATTTGACGAAAGTTATAATTATAAAAATGAGCATAACGTATATCTTAGAATCAATGAATGAAATTGATGGATTCACGCATCTATTTTATTATATATATATATTTTTTAATCTGTTTTTTTCTTCATGCACAGTGGGTACATAGGCGAACTGAAAGCCTTAGGCATTTTCGAGCCTTGAGCTACCAAAAGTTTTTTTTTTTACTAAATTAGGTACCCTGTTATATTAACTTTTCTCTGATCTGCTAAGTCACAACCATATTATCCAATGTATCCAAAAATTTACAAGTATTGTCTTAGAAAATATGTCGTAAAGAGGTAGCGAACAAAGTTACTTAAACATTTGTAATATTAGTTGGGATTTTATGTTAATACAAAGGCACGTAATCACTTCATATTCATATTCATTCGTTCGTTATCACGCATCGATAGTTTTCGCATGTTTACTTGTACGGTAGTAGTATGGACGCGGCATTTTGGAGACAAATTCGTGAATTAGGAACAGTTCAACATACTGGGGTTGCGGGGCAAGCCCAATAAGGTACCGTGGCTTCGGCCTGGAGCAGGAGAAGGAACGTGGTGGTTTTTATTCAGTAAGAGTCTGACACTCCCAACAATCAATCAATAACAATCACTCCGCCTAGGGCGAGAATTCAAAAAACGTCGCATTATTTATTGCTAACTAAAAATAATCTGAAATTCTTTTCTAACATCGACAATAAAGTCTTTTCGGTTTTCACAACAAGCTTAGAATATAACTAGATTATTCGTATTTTTGATCTATTACTACATATATAGTAGGTTTAGTATAAAACCAAGTCTCTCAGGTTTCCCTGTCCCTATATCTCTAAAGTAGGGACAGAGAAACCGACTTTGTTTTATATGTATGCTTAAATCTGAATGAAAGGTTTATACGTGTAATAAAGTCCAGTAAAACGTGGAAAAAATACTATGCTAGAAAACTAGGTATGTTTTGAAAGTTTTTCAGAACCAAAGCATGCGTATCACAGTGAAGTCTCCCTTAAAATCGTTACACTGTTTGAATACTTATTTAATTTATATTGACGTGTATACCGTATCCATTTTATCTACAAGGAAGTGAACGTGTCAGGTTGGTAACTCAATGTGTCAATTTTCCACGCGCCCTGTCGAAGGGGTAAATTGGCAACGCGTGCCGTGTGCCACCCGCCTTGTGATTGTTGATTCTAAGGTCCAACGTTATAAGATATAGCGATTTATTTGATTTTTTTAAAGGTATGATGATAGACTCTCACATAACAATAACTTATTCTTGGCTGCTAAGGTTTAAAAAAATGTACAATAAGTACTTAAATAGCGTTTCCACTTTAATATTCACAAAATATCTGTAAAATACGCCTTTTGAATACAAAAAAGGAATCCAAGAAAACCATACTTAGGTACAAATTAGGTGGTTTCCTACGTCAAAATTTGTTATTTTGACATTGTATTGAACATTCAATTTTGAAAATATAATCAACTATAATTTTTTTTTTAATTTGATACTTAATACTTTAAATTGAATTATGAAAAAATAATCAACTTTAATATATTTTTTAATTTGATACTTAATACTTTAAATTGAATTATGAAAATATAATCAACTTTAATATATTTTTTAATTTGATACTTAATACTTTTATTTAAATTTTTACTAACTAATTATTCAGGAACAAGTATGCTATTTGGCTTCTCTGGGTTCACATAGGTATAAAATTCATAGAAAAGTATCACTTTTACATTCCATTAAAAGTACCTTCTGAATTTTACTCGTTGGGGACTATCGGATTGATCGACATTCTGTCAATTCTATGTAGCAAATTGTTACTACCAACTAAATGTGTGCGTGCGGATTACAACAAAGTTGATGTTGTTTTGTTTGTACCGATCAGCTACGCAAAACAATAACAATACCTTAAACAATCCTATCGAAACGATTGTAACTCTTCGCTATTGTAGTTTTATTTGTTTATTTTGAAGTGGGAAAAGAGGGTAAAGAGGCCTGGCCGAAAGAGGATTTTAGACTAAAACTAACCAATTTGCAGTTGCTTGGCCTTTCATTGTTTGTTAGCTGATTCTGTAGGTACTTTAATACTATACTAGGGTTAATCAAAAGCTAATTTACTTTTAGAACTCTTTCTTTTCTTTTTGAAGCTTCAGTCAAAGTGTTGAAGGTAGCTATCGGTGTTTAAGTCAAATTAATGCCTTGAAGTTCTTAATTTTTTCACATTAATAGACTTAAAGGAAAAATAAAATTACTTCTTTGAAACCAACAGATGTACTGTTGCGCTTCATAAACAATTGCTTCATTATTGGATGATTTGTTAATTATAGTAGTTATTCGTTTTCACCTAAAGAATAAATAAATCGCTAGGTTTATTAATTGTAACGTTCTTAGTGATAATATGTAATTTAAAATTCTGATCAATGACAATCTGACGTTTTTAATTTTTTTTTATTTCGGAAAGTGCAGACATTTGGCCGCTATCACGCCTGGTGGTAAACGATAATGCGACCTACGATGGAGCATGACTAACCTATTTACTGTGGCGTCATATAAATATGTACAATGTCCCACTCTTTCAATGAATACATTGTAATGCCTTTTCAATGCGTTAATCTTTATATTAATTAAAGAATTATTCTAGTCAATCAAAGAATATGATTCATCGTACTAAATGAATCGCTTACGTTTCTAACTTAAACCGTATTCGCGTCATCTTGTAGAGTAATCACTATGTTTAGCGAATTAGGGTAATTTGAATTATTTAAGATTTGTTTCCTTGTGCGTACCTTACATTCGTTTGAGGATCTTAGCACTTAAACCCTAAGGTTCATTTTCCCTGTTAGTATTGTAATCGAATTAAACATTTAAATAAAATTTTATTGTATGTATTTAGTTTGGCATTGTTCTCTCGATGATGTCGATGTATATGAAAATCTAAATATATTTTAATTCCTATTAATTTGTAATTGTGTCTAGAAGTTTCCACAGTTGCTATTGCGAGGAATATTATGTCGTCACAGCTTTTCCGAAAGGGAAAATGAATATAGGAGGCAATTGGTCTTGGACACCATTCTGTTCTTGAGATACACGTTTCATAGTATAATCAGAATTATAATCAGAAACTCAAGTTGGTCAAAGTACAATTAACCAAAAATGTCAATCAACTGACTAAAAGAACGGGAAGTGCTTTGCCTCCGTATAAAATGTGAAATTTCAGTACTATTAACAAATAGAGAAAAAGCCAGGACATGTTTATAGAAGTGTGCGTGAATGTAAAAATTAGGCGCCCGCTTTTCATGCGTGAGGGTGCGGTTTCGGAACCTAGTACCAATGTTGTGTGGTTTAGACACCACTGACATACGGTGAAGGAAAACAACCTGGACTCATTAGTTCTAAGTTTGAAATCGCCAATCCGGCTTCAGCAAGCGTGGTGATTAATGCTCAAATTTCCGTGTAAGAAGACGCGTTTGCTGAGCAGTACCTAGGCACTTTAGACTGATGATGTGATGTGAGAATTTCAAAATGATAAACTCTTTAAAATATTTATTCTTGTCACAGTGGTCAGCAATCACTTCTGACAACAACACCGACGAATCAATAGCTTTAACAACAATTTGTTTTTCATAAAATCTGCATACGAATCAATTAACGCCCATAATATTGACGTTATTTTTGTTCGATGAAATAAAAAATGCGTGCAATTTATACCCAGGTACATTGATTTATAAAAATCAGGGAGCTTTTGATGAAATTTCTATGCGTCCTCGGCTTCGTTAGTCGCATGAATATGAATGATTGGTTTGTGAATGTCGATGTATGGTATCAATATCTGCTTTTAGCTCGTTGCTATGGAACTTAATTCTGTTAAAGGTTTTTTTATATGTACGTACGTATGTACTTCTGAATTGTGAGTAGTGTTTTTGTTTGGTTTTATTTCTTCAGCTCTAAATAAATTATAAGTAATTCATAAATGAGCAAGCAGTTTTTTAATAAACGAAAACGAACTTTTATAAATAAATATATATATATATATATATATATATATAGGAGCACAATGAACATCTAGTATGGATACAGGAAAAAATAAGACCCAATCTACTGATCTTATCAGTTGGGGTTGCAAGTGCAAGCCTAATAAAGTAGCCCCAGTACCGGCCTGGAGCAGGAATAGGAATGTGTTAGTTTTAAGTCAGTAAGAGTCTGCCACTATCTGTTGCCCTACAAATAATTGTATGACTTTGTCAACTCAAAAAAGGCATCTGGTCTCCTTAAACCGGCCTTAAATTACATTGGATTTTATAATCAGCTATTTGCAGCATAATACATTAGTTTGAAATAAAACCACAACTAAGTTCACCTTTTTGTCACCAGGGATGTAGTAACGGCTCTTATAGACGCTGGCATGGATCCCAACGTCAGAACACACAGCGGCACACCTCTTCACGAAGCAGCTCGCTTCGGGAAACCCTCAGTAGTACGCATTCTTCTCAACAAAGGAGCTGATCTCCACGCTCAAGACTCCTCAAGGAAGACAGTGTATGACCTTTTAGCTGAATATCCTGAAGAGGCTACAAGAAAAGTCAGGAAAGTGATTCGAGGTATGTTCCAAGCAGGTATGTCGCTCAATCATTTGCCTGGTGTTGACGGATTAAACGCAAAATCATCAACTGTTCTCATTGGTCTAAATTACAAGATCACCTATTCCTATTGGTTCAAATTACAACATCACCTATTCTGATTGGTCCCAGTTTCAACATCACCTGTACGACTTTAGTGTTATTTCTGCTTTTAGCTGTTGTTTGAAGTAATTGGGTCTTTATGTTTTTGTTATTTAAGGTCCATTTTATTTAAATGAGTTTTTCATGCTTCGCTCTTCATTTTTTTTCTATTTTTTACCATTTTAACTTAGAAACTAACTTTAAATTAGATTTTTATGCTAGTCATGGGAATTTGTTAACGTTGTTTTTATATGATTTTAATGAGATGGCTATTGTTCTAGAAAGTAAATATAAAAGCTTCGTTTCTCTTCAAATTGCAAAGAAGTAGACATGTTTTATGACTACATATTATAGTTATCTATCTACATATTAATATTTTCTAAACCGATAGCCTTCATAGCGCTATAGGTGATGGTGTTATCCTCAAAATGCCATGTTTAGATTACAGGATAATAGTAATGATCTAATTTCACAACATTTTCTGAATAACAAGCTACGTATGGTTTTGTGATTAATTTATTAACATCGGGATATTTATATAATATAATTTATTTTTATATAACAATTAAATATCTATTCTTTATAAAAGAAAAGAAATATATCATACATTTTTCAATTTTATTAATAATGAGATAAATAATTTTAAGTTATTAAAAGAGGGTTTAATTTCAAAGAGGTTTTACATGTTACACAGAATTTTCGCCAGTTTTGTTATTAATACCATATAATAAGTTGGAGATGAGACTTATTCAATACACAAATTAAAAGCTAGACACTAACACTATATGGGATTATGAAAGTACAATACAGAGTACAAATAACAATTTTTGAAATCTTTCTGGACCGCCAGTTACATCTTCAAATATATTCGACATATATTGCTTTCTTTTGTCGTATAAGAAAAAGATACTTAGATAAAACTATTAAAAAGTATCTTAATTCCATAAGTGAAGAGAAAACGACAGTCGAATGTTTTAAAATAGTCTGCTCTACTGATATTTTATAAAAGTCACCCTGTACCAAGAAATTTCAAAATACTAATAAAGAAAATAATGCTTTACTCTACTTAGATATAGAAATCTGAGACACTTAGTGACACTATACAACTTAGATATATGTAATATGTTTTTCTTTAACAAGGTGTTTGTATCATAGTAAATAATTATATGTCATACGATTTTGACAGAATATGAAAACCTCATGGGGAATTTCGACAGCGACAAAGAATTACCTCCTTTCCCCGTCCAGGACTACAGCCCCGACGCCGTAATGTGAGTCTAATTTTTATTGTAATAGAGCCTAAATTAGAATATAACTCATTTAGAGTTGTATAATTTATTTCGATGCAGAAAATAAAAGTAAACAAATGAAATGCTGATGTATTTAAAGCGCAGCCGTTAAAAGTGGGACAACAGAGATAGACATTGTGCTGTGATTTTGTTTTTTTTATGTTGCCCCTCACTATAAAGGACTTTTTCCTGTGTCGTGAGTGCGTTTTCAAATAACCAATTTTCCTTAGACATCACACCCAGACCAGGAACAACAAATTGTGGATTAGACAAAGATTTGTTTTATTTGCTTGTTGGTGGACATTGTAATATCACAATCTGCACGGTTATTTTGTGTACAGGAAAGATTGATGCCGTACAGAAAAAGTAGCTATTGTTATACTTAAGTATTTATTTAAGCCATATCCTTTGCAACTATTGGTCGGCTCAGTAGCCAATCAATAGTTACTATCAACATCAAACATATAGGGTAATTGTGCAGATTGAGCATATATCTTCTGTACTGTATTTTATCAAAGTATTGCCAATATTAAGTCCAATGTTGGCAATACAAAGTTGCTAAAGAGCCTGTTTCTCCATTGTGTAGTAGTGAGTTTCCATGAGATTAATTGACAGTCAAATTATCCATCATATAGACGTACTGAAACTTACCTATTTGTTTAGTAATCAAGCAATTAAGATTCTGAACGAAAGGAATTCCAATAGAATATAACAAAGGAACAAATAAATTAATGGAAACTTAATAATAAATTTTACACTAAAACGAATGAACTTTTAAACTCAATAGATTCAGTTAAAACATCAGCCCTTCATTTGTTTACTAAATCCATGACATTTGATGATTTATAAATATCGAATTTGTTGAATGATTCATATAATCCAAGGTTATGTTTTGACGTCAACTATTGCGGTATAAAAACAATTGACAGTCTAGATAATAATAATTATTTATTTATGTAAAATGTATATTTAAAACTTGAAGTTGACGAAAATCCATAGCCAACTATGCAGTCTTTAGCGGATACTATTTATTTTCGCACACCAAACTTTTATATGCGCCATTGTCATAAAAATGCACTTTTCTTACATTTTTGCCTTAGACTGCACAGTGCACATTCCACATTACAAGACAGATCATAATATCAAAACTCATTACGCTAACCATTAACACGGTGAAGGGATTCTTTATCTTCTTTTATCTACTAACATGCACGATTTCTTTCTATTTAAATCTGTCCGTTTATTCGTAAAGACTCTGGCTTTAAGGTACCGGCAATTACTCAAAGGAGGCTCCGGCTCAAAACATTCAGTTTTAATTGGAGTGGTTCGTCTCAATTACGACACACGACGTGTCGCCTTTGAAGTTTGAATTCTATCTTAGAAACTCGTATCGTATTTAGATGAATCATCGTGGTTTTTGATAATCTTCAGTGTTTGGGCCTTGAGTCTAGTGGTAGTCAAATAATGAGACCTAGTAAGGACTAGGCCTAATAATAATAACCGTTTTCTATAAATACTACCTACATAAATTAAAAAAATTCCACCATAACACAACACATAAGACGCGTAACGTACACACACACACAGCTAAAATTATTTAATTAATTAAATGTGGACAGAATTATTTTATACTCACATTCAAATAAAAGAGCTGTCGTCTTTTTAAAAACAGAATCATGTAAGTTTATAAAAGAATTGACTATAAACAAAAACTTTGAATACGGCTTCCCTCATTAAAATCTTCCGTATCTTTGATTTTGTCTGCAAACAGCTAGATGAGACGTCTGTGTGACACGAGAAAAATATCTCCCCGACGACGTCCTTTGATGGCGAGCTAAATACTTCACGATGAGCACTTTCAGCTTTGGTGGAAACGTGGACGCGCCACCAAAGGGATGAAATTAAAACGCTAATGAAATTTAAAAGAAAGCACACCCTATTAAAATGTTTGAATTAAAAAGTGACAATGCTTTGCAAACCAATACATAAATTATTAAACAACATTTTCAAACAATTTAAATAATGCTTTCGATGAACAAATCAATGTTTTAATTTACAGGTCTACTCATAGTTTAAAACCCCCTGCTATAGTGCTTGATCCAAAACCACCCGCTTCCCCTAATAACAATGATAGGAAGAAAATATCTGTAACTAACGCTCAATCTAAAACACCACCACCAGAGACGCGTTTCAAAGGACACACTAAATCAATTGTCAACTATACTATCAATGTTGATATGAGACAAAGAAGCGAGAGTTTTGATCTCAAAGCTAGAAACAATAAACAATTTAAAATTATTGGTAATGCTATTTCTTCTGAAACTGCATGTACGGAATTATTGGAAAATCAAAATCAACTTATATCTGAATTTAAATCACGAAACAAAACGAAAGCCGAATCTGATTCGGGATCTGAGAAAGAAGACAATGTTGCATTGTCCGTTGAACGTATTGATCTTGGTAAACAAAATGACCAAATAAGAGCAACCACTATTGAACCAACAAGTAAAACTGTAACTACAGGTTCAGTGTATTTAAATAACACCAACAATTCACCTAAAAAGGTATTACCCACACCTACCCCAAAACCAATCGCGTACGTATCAAAATTTACACCCGAACCTGACGAAGACCACATTGACTCGATTTACGCTAACAGCTGCGTTACAGTAGACGATTATGCTAAAAGTGAAATAACTGAAGATAACATATATGAAAATGTTAGTAGAAAACTAACACAAGATGACGACACTAATCTGGAATGCGATGGCCCTAAAACTGATTACGTAATTATGGATAAATTTAATCACCAACAATTTCATAGAAGTGCAACGATATCGGGGATAGCAACTAAGTATGAAATGTTTTCTAAAACTCCGGAAAACATTGAAAATAATAATTCTGAGGGTAATTACGAAGATTATGTTTCAATGGGTGGTGCGCAGCAAAACGAAAAATCATTGTCTGTTCAATTAAATAAAACCGATCTCGTCCATCTTAAGGGTGATATTGGATGTATTTATGAATCGCCAGAATATTTATATATTTACGAAATAAATCCACAAACATACCGAGGCAATGTTCATCCTTTCACTAAGAAGAAACAGAAAGCTAAGCCGATGCCTTGTTATTGTCACGAAGATCCGGACAGAGAAGAGAAAATTAAAGAGAGAATAAACCGTTCTCGCCATTCAGACGGCAGCCAACTATTGTATCACAGCTGTCAAGATATTTATGTTGCCATGAAGAGTAAAGAGGGAATTTACTCTTCTTTGAATGACTTATCGAAAGACAGAGACTTTGATGATAATGAACGCATCGATGTGACCGACACAAGCATTCTACAAAGACATGACAATAATGAAAACAATGAAAATAATGAGAACAACGAATCAAACCAAGACCAAACCAGAGTAACAGGAATCCTTAAAAAGAAAATGACACACTTCAAACAACTTTTTGTCGATTGGTAGTGCAAAAGATGAACAAGCGATTTCCAAGTTCTCTCTTCGGTACCTACCTATGTACATATATACTTATACCATAGTACTATTAATACTCTTCTTTCTAATTTTGATATACGTATAATATTTTCTCGCTTTTGGTGGTGGTAAAACAACTAATAAAGTGTTTAACACTATTCATGATATCATATTAAGTTAAGTTAAATTTTGTTTTACGATTATGTTTTATTTTTTGTCGCTTTATGTGTTTTACAGGACACCAACAGAGACCCAGAAAAATACTAATAATATTGATAGCCCTTTATCTCCATCTTCATCGTCACTAACAAAAAGTCATCCTCAAAGTTTTGTCAAAAAGCTTGCTTCAAAATGCTTGGGCCTTAAAGCGAAATTCAATTCAGCTCCTAACATTTCTAACAATCCAGCGGAAGTCGATGTCAAGTCGAAACAATCGGAACAGAAAAGTAACTCAAATACAATGCTTATAGGAAATAGTAAATTCTTCAAAATGTTGTCGAAAAAGGAGGAATCTGGTGAAATTGTTTGTAACGATGAATTTGATACTATATCATTAGATAGATTAGGCACATTGAACAGAGATTCCGTTGTTAACCGAAGTAATAGGAGTTGCCCTGGATTTAAAACATCTTTACCTAATATATCAGAAAACAATGAGCTTAGTGATTCTCAAGAATCTGTTGCAGAATCTATTGTGATTACAGAAATTGATTATAGTAATAGTAGTAAAAAAGATGTGAAAGTAAATGAAGCTGTAAATAACACATTGAAACTAAATATATTTGAACCCAGAGATGTAAATGACAGAAAATCTGTGGCATCTGTTATATCAGCAGAGTCAACACAATTAGTAAACGAATGTTACGAATCTTATGAATTTTCTAAAACTGGTAGTGGTAGAAGCATTAAAAAGTTGTCACTTCCAAGGCCCCCTCCAAGACTCAACGTGGCTAGTTCAAGTAGTAATGAAAATATCTATGAAAATGTTGTGATGGAAGTCAAAACTATACCAAAGCCTGCTGCAAGAATTCATGTTCCCGTAAAACCGCTTGATGAAGTTCAAAGAAAAAATTTGTACGAAAATATATCTGTTATTCAAGAAAGAAAACAACCAGAACCTATGAAAAGAACTTTCGTACCTAAAAAACCAAGTTCAGATGGCTTTGATGATAAATCTTCTACTCGCAGTAGATCATCCACATTATCTTCGGATTCTATGATTGATGAATCGAATCTAGAGGATATATTACTCTCTGAGAAGTCAAAATCTTTTCGACACCGTAAAACTTCACCCTATTCTACTGCGAAATCACAGATATCGAGAACTCAATCGACAGCATCGGACTCTTCAGACCTGACGGAAGCTAGTGCCTTAGAAAATGTTGATTGTAGCTATGAAGTAGAAGAAAAACCGTTGTATCTATCCATGACTGGAACACTACCAAACAAAAAGACAGATAAAACTGGAGATAAAAAAGTTCTTTTTAGGCATAAAACTTTTACCAACATTGAAGTCGACAGAAATTCAGTAAAGGTTAGAGATTTACCCCAGTGGAATAATACATTTTTGAAAGAAACTTTAGCTCATTATCACATTAGAGGTACAGGTCACTGTATCTATAACGCTCCTACAGTTCAAGAGTTTATTTACATATTTAACAGGGAAACGCTTTATAGTGATGTTCCACCATTTACTAAAGTACCTAACGACAAAAGAGATAGTTATTTTGAAACTGCAATATGCTTCTGTAGGCCGAGACCTCCAAAGTTTCACAGTAGCGCTGAAGATCTTTTAGACAAAAATACCCAATCTGAAGATGGGCAAGTTATAATTGACTTGGAAGCACTTAAAAACAGAAACGAAATAGTATCATCGTCATTTAAATGTTATTGCGATTCCGGTACTTGCACGTTGCATTCAAACAGGCGTGAGTCTCCTGTAGACTTAGTTGTTAAATTTTCAGCTATTAAAAGAAGTATTTCGACACCAGATATCACATTAGAATCCTCTCCTTATTCGACAACAAATAAATTAACTTTACCGAAAAATAAATCGGTACCGAATAATTTAGAAGATCCTTACGCCGTAGTTAGCCTTATTCTATCAAAGACATTGCAGAAGTTATATCATTAAACTCACATTCTACATCGACAACCTCTACTATGTCTCATGCTTCTGGTGTGCATTTGCCTGTTAGAAAATCGACTTCCTCGGAATATTCCGGTCACTGGTCACTTTATTCTTGTAACTCTAACGTTACAATAAAATCTGACGCGTCATTCAAGTCTTGTATTGACGACTCGTCAGATGATTCAGATGACGGTACCTTGCATTCGGACGAAGAAGTATCCGACGCAGATACAGTTAAGTCAGAAGTAAGCACAGCAAAAAGACCATGGGTCCACAGCGACTCTTTCAGATTTGGAAGTAAATCTAAACCTGAGATTGATGTTATTGTAGAGGAAAATAGCTGCAAAGACAAATCAGAAGTTTCTTCTTCGAAACACGAAAGTGGTATTTGCTTAGTTGAAGGCTCTGAGAGTTCATCGTCTGAATGCGAGGATGATAGTGGTATTCCGAGGGTCGATACGGATGTGTCGCTTGGTTCTGCTTCGCTTGAGCGGGGTTCGGGAATGGTCGGGGGTGTTCGCAGCGGGTCGGGGCGGCGGCGATGGGACGAGGCGGAGGGTACCAGCGAAGGCGATGCGCTGAGCGTATCGAGTGCAGCCTCTAGCTGTGCGCCTTTACTTCTGGCGCATCATCACGAGTACAGCAAAGTTTCGGTAAGAAATTTTCAAACATACAATTCTTAATAAAACGTCTCTTTTTAAAAAGTTTGTTTCTTCTACCAGTATACGTCTTAAATTCTCCAATTTCCTGCATTATCTTGGTGTTTGTACGATTGCAAAAATATAATTTCACGCTATGGCGATCCAATATGAATATTTTTATAATTCTACACATTCACGTAGTTCGTTTTTTGATATTGTGATATCCCCTTATGAATTCCGATCCTTAATGTTAATTTTATCGAAGGACAAGTGAATTGTAGTATGACATTATACTTTAAGTACTAACTATTAGACACCATTATTATTTGACACTTGAGGTGCATCAATCTTCGATAAATGGAATCTTTAACTTGAATTTAGAAACCTTTTTAAATACGTCTAAAAGCCTTAGAATCCTTCATTAGCAAAGACAGGGACTAATTGATATATTTATTGCTTTGTTCTCATATGAACATGCTGCTAATTGGTTGTGGGAAAAATACTTGTAATTAAACACAATCAAGGGATTAAAATTCTGTTGTGACATCTGCATCGTGCTAATAAAACGTGCCTAGTGTATTTCATATGCTTGGGACATTTCCTTGGCTTTGAAAGTGCTATCTTATTTTCTTTCTCATACAGTTGCGAGAAAATTAAGCAATTCAATCGAAATCACTCATTTTGTGTAAAAAAAAACAACTAAACCCGCAAAAAGAAAATTTCGGAAAATGGCGCCAACCGTAGAATGTAAGCAGTTTTTTTCACCCATTCTGGTAGGCAAAGGGAACTGCCCATATAGCCAAGTCTTTAGTACTTAGTATTTTTATTATCAGAAATGAAATTGAAATTAGTGATATGAAATGAACTGAAACCTTACCTAACTTATTTAATCAAATAATTAATTTTGATATTGGACAAATTAGTATAGGTAGCTTCTTTTTAGAAACAAATAAACCTATTTGCATGAATTGCAAAAACTTCTATGATTTATTTTTAATTTTTAGTTAAAACTTCATGGTTGTTTTTTTTAATAGAAACTATTTTGACAGTTGGGAAAGAAAACGCACGAGTTAGGAAAAGGCAAAAAAAGCGTGAGTGTGAAATAGCCCAGATCCAGAACGCTACACGTCCCGGCAATACGCCACTTTTTAAGCATCTGTATTAAAAAATTGTTTACGCCCATTGTAATTTTTATCCCACAACTTATATTTTAATTGCAGTATATATTCGCAAGTCCAAATTTCAAATTCCATATTCTAAATATTTCCGTTCCTTATAAAATATGTTTCAAGAACATCGTTACGTAGTAAATAAAACTAATTAGTGAAATGAATTTGAAGAACGGATCGGAAACATGCATTTCAATGTTGTTTATAGTAATTACGAGAACAGAAGCCATGTAATTAATTCGTGTTTTGTCCCGCCCGATGACCTGTTGCACGATTACTGGATGTCACGCGAACTCAGGGAAATTATAATAATAAAAATGAACAATTTCTGTCACGGAATGTCGTCACGAAATGACAATCTATGTAAATGCATACATACAATCGTAATTTCGTTTCTAAACGCTGGTCATAGTGTTGATACTAAACAATTATTCATAACTACTGGGACTCACTATGAATCTTTCGATCCATTCAACTTTCTTTGACTTCGCTGTTACCAATGAAATTCTACTACTCCCTTCTTTTTGATATTTATTCATTGAACAGTCAGTTAATACTTATTTATACAATACAAGAAATTACAAATGAACAATGAGTAAACATTGAGTTACTATTTAATTCTTATGATGCTAATTATTATTCAATTAAAAGGAGTGTGCCGAAACTACGGAACAAAAACAATAAATAACTTCACCAAATCTATTCTAATATTATAAAGAGGTAAAATTTGTAAGTTTGTATGTAGGGGGTAATCTTTGGAACCGCTAGTCGGATTTTCAAAATTCTTTCACTGATAGATAGCTACAATGTTCCTGAGTGCTATAGTGAAACCGCGCGAGATTAGCTAGTACACAGTTTTAATTGGTTAAAAAAGAATATTAAAGTATTGGTTTTTTTATAACACCAATAAGCTTTCCTAAATAATGGAATACGTAGTAAGACACAATACATTGAGACTATATCGGCCACCTTCCTCCTTTACCAGGCAAAGCTATAAATACTCTCCTACAAATACAAGTGTAATATGCAATTTCGGTTATAATGAATATGCTATATCTCTGTTATATGATGTGCATAAATGTTTTCTTAAAGCTGTTTGGTTGAAACATACTATCTATCGACATTAATAAATAGCCAATTAGCAACATTTCGCTGTCTATCTTATAATTAACTAGCTTTTGCCCTCAACTTTGTTCGCGTGGAATAGTGACTTCCTGCAAATTTTTGCTTGCAGATACAGTTTAAAAATTCTATCCTATGTACTTTCTCGAGTCCCAAACTATGTCTGGACCAAATTTTACATAAATTGGTTCAATAGTTTAGGCGTGAAGAAAAGACAGACAGACAGTTGCTTTCGCATTTATAATTATTAGTTTGTATTAATAATACGCACTAAGAAGGAAAATACTTACAAAATCTTTCGTTTCCACTCTTACTCATAACTGTACTGAGAATTTGCATATTAAAAGCAGTTACTTCATTCTCTGGTCATAAACTTTAGGAAATAGAAGACCCAACTAACCCACATAACAGAAATAAACGAACGAATGTAAATCGTAATGACGTCTAAGTTGTAATAAAAATGGAATAAAAAGTTCGTGAGAAAAGCGATTAAGTCTCCCATGTGTTTGTGCATCGGATGTTTGTGCACGAGGCAGTTGATTAATTTATTTACCAGTTCTTTAATGAATTGTGTCACCTAAGGGAAATCTAATCCCGTCTATCATCGAGGTTATCACAGGTTTTCTTATAATTTAATTAAGGGAATGCCTGATGGTGTTTCCTTGGTGCAAGAACAGTGTTTTTTTTTTATCCACCAGACATCAGTCTAACGAAGTTCAGTAAATCTTTCTTTTTGGATGTAATACCTTGACGATCGAGAATGGCATCGATATCATGGCTTCCTTAATCATATCTTACACTTATCCAACATAATTTCTCAGTATTATCATGTCTGCAGTAAAATGTGTTAACCGCCACTTATCTATATTTAGTTCCACATATGCAGCATTGTTCATAACTGGTACATCTCTTGACGGCCACATGGTACGACTACGCGATGAGTTGACGCAAAGAAATTGGGCGGTCAGTCGCGCCGTCGCGTATCAAACCGACGCTTGCGTTCGCACGCTCCAACACACCCGATTACGATCGCGAGTCGAGATATTCGCGCTATCGATTAGTGATCGATTATCGTGTAAAATCGATTGTTATGTGGTTCCTAGTGCTTGTGTGTGTGATGTGTTAGTGTTTGTACGTTGTATGTTAGTGTGTGAAGTGCGTTTGTAGTGAAAATCGCAGTGTGTGTGAATTCAATGTAAGTTGCAATTTTTGCCTCTAGACTTAAGTTATTAGGATTAGGGTTCATAGGAGACAAATGAGGTAAAAATTTAAAGTCTCAAAATATTTATGACATTGTACATAGAAATAGACGAAGAACAACAGAAATTATTGAATAAAAAACCGTCCTTTTATACAAATATTAGATACAGAGTTATATAAAGTCGATGCGATGATGTTACGTTGCTATAAAATCTTCGAGTCAAGGGCCCAATAACCCCATTCCGATGTGTCATAATACAATTCCACGTGTTGACGAAAATATCTGAGCTCAGAATCTTTATGTATTATTATTTGTTTTGATATTAACAGTCGCATGCAAAACAAGCACGACAAGACACAAGATTTTATCATTTCGGAAACAAAGTCTTACGACTTTGTTTCTAAAAAAATCTTGTTTAATAAAACCGTGTTTTTATTGACTGCCTTGATTGATCTTCTGCTATGATCACTTGCATTTTATGTCAGAATCCGTCTAAGGGCCTGCAGCCAATTCCCAAAAGTTTATAACTAAAATTCCCCTAAAGAAAATTTTATATCCATGATATTGGTGTCCCGAAAACCTCAAAATATTTTTGTGAATATGAAAAGACATTTTATTCTCTTTTATTCTAAATTTACGTACTATCAGTGCTCCGAAAATAAAGTCCAGTGATGTAATTGCAAAATATTTTGTGATCATTGATGCTAAATGTTTAAAACGACCACGGAAATATCTTCCGTCTGGCGTTCGGCCAGTTGTATTCATGTTTACGCGGATACTGTGACAGTTGACCACGGGAAATACATGCAGGTGCTTTTTTAATAATAATCAAGTGATATTCGTTAAAATTGTCTTTTATTGTTTGGAGTTCATTAATCATAGAATTTTGGACGTCTTAAATGTTAGGTTATTCTTAAAAATCTGCTATAATATTAGTCTAGTTCGTTTATACACTTTTTACATATTATGTCTTGGTCAAAAGTTTTCTTCATAAATTCCTCAATTGTTTACAAAACATAGTACTTATGCTTTCATTAAATATAAATAGGTTACTAGGATTGAATGTTTATCTAAAAACCTTGTCCTCCTTTACATTCTTGCGATAGTTTGGTATTGCTATGTGAGTCATAAATGTATGTTTTGTAAACTTTGGTTATCTGGTGTGGATCTTTTAGATAGTCGTGATTCACAGTCAGGGTTGAATTTTGTTGAAAACCTAATGCTGTTTGTGTGAGGTAGCGTAAACAGTTGCGGATTTAAATTAGTCATTCGAGTGATATATTGACTGCAGTACAACCATTGATCTTTCAAACTTATAATAAGCGTATTGAAAACATAAGTACATAAAGACAGATAAATCCATTACTCAAAGATGAAGTCCAGTAAAATATTTTCCTTGACATCGCATCATTGCAACATTCTAAGAACAAGCTCAATTTTAGATTGTTATCAACAAACAATAAACGCTCCATTAATGAAACTATTTCTACCTATCATATAGTCGTCATGATTGCAACATCCACATGTGGCTAAACAGACGGCCAGCTAATATACATTGTATAAAATATAAACACATGTACCTATTAGTACACTGACGGACAGATATATGATTTCATCGTTACGATGTAGGTTACCGGGGCTTGAAACAGCTTTTACGCGAAATAATAAATAAAATGTGCATCAGCAACTTATTTAAGAATCTAATATCCGCGCTGCATAAACAGACGAAAATATTCTTGTAGATGGAGTAATGGGTGCGAAGAAAGCCGAAGAGTGGATCTTAGCAAAACATTGATTTTAAAGCGAACCATTTCCACTCTACAGTACCTTTGATGGATCTGCTTCTGTTGTGTTTATTTGCCAGGTTAAAAACCCTCATCAATTTCCCAATCAGACAGAAATGATCCATCAATTAAGAATACATAAATTCTTACGAGGCTATCAAGATCTGCAAATTAATGTATTTTTCGCGACGGCCTTGGCTTCAAATAAAAGTAATATAGAAGTTTAGACGCTTGCAAAAATATCGTGTGGAATTTCAGTTCTCTCAAACTCCTGCAATTATTTTCTTTATCTTATTATATTTATCCTTACATTTTTAAACCTAATGTTTGGAAACTGTATGCCAGGGAGGGATTTATAGTTCAGTGGTTAACTTTACAGTAAACTGCAGACAGCTTTGACAAAACAATTTGTTACAAAGTACAATTTTACTGTTCATAAAAGGTCCTTCGTTGAGCTACCGATGGATATCCGTCATGTGCAACAAGCCCCATCGGTCACGGTCAATATCCCTCGTACAAATCAATGGTGTGTTCCGGCGCCATATTAATCGCTGTCGCGCGTATCAACGTTGCGCTCGCGCCGCCAATTTATATCTACCAGCCCTTTGATGTACCATGTTTCTCAAGTCTTTACTTCGTGGAAGAGCTTTGAAATTTTCGTGTTTGTATTGTTTTGGGGTTTATTGCTTTATGTGTTAATCTTCCAGTGCAAGTGAGGTGGTCTTATAACTGTTGGAATCCGTTTGGATAATCATTTCAATGTAAGATTGGATTTCAAAATCTTAAGATATTATTTATTTGTCCAAAGTCTATTGCAAAATTCCTCCCTACGTATGATTGACTTATTAGAACATAATTTTAATAAATCAATCGCGGCAACGGGTCGCCTGTCAACAAAGCCGCCTGAGTGCTTTCAAATTGCCTCGACGAATTTCCGTCGGTCAAATTCCCATATTCCGCGTAAATTACACAAAATTAATTGGCGTTAAGGGTTATTAAAGGAGGCTCTAGCCACGAATATTGGGCTCTAAGGGAAATAATATAGGAAATTGAACAAGCGTGTTTTGTAGAAATTAGGTTGAGTCATGCTGCGTGTAATAATTACCATAAATGGGTGGTAATGGGTGTTCACTGTAGAAAGTAGTTCATCGTTACGTCATACGTAAACATGACAAGGAAAAATATGGGACACATTCTTAGCACTTTAAATTAAATCTATTGTTGTTCTCTCCACCACGATTACTACCACAAAGCTCGCGGTTGTTATGATAAAGATCAGTGCATTAATAGCTCGCAAACAACAATCCTGTCTTTCACCATTGTTGCGTTAAAAGCATCTCATTCAACTCTTACACCACTTCCCTACTGAACCAGTGCCGTAAATGGGCCATGCAGCCCATACACACAAAGATCATTTAACGTTTCATACATAAACACGACCGTTTTATTCACTGTTTACTGTTTTCTCGTTTACTATCGCAATTAGTGAATTTGTAAACCGAACTCCGTTATACAGGGTGACGTTTTAAACGTAATCGTTCCCGATGTAATTTAATGACAGATTAAATGCATTAACACGTTTGTGTTGTTAGTGTAAGCTGTAGTTAATTCTACGGGATTTTTGGTACTGAAATTGCTCGTTGAATTTACACTCGGTTCGGGATCCCATAACCGCGTTGTCATGAAATTAGCTTGTTCCTAATTGATATTATTGGCTTAAATAGATCCTAATGGTTGTTTAAATCTATAATATTTATTAGTATCGTGATTCGGAATATGGATTGAATTTGAATTTGCATTCTGTTTTCAACTCTTGGTATCATATTGCATAACGACATTATAATCCTTAAAATTCTCTGAGCATTCTCTTGCAATCCGTTTTAGCCTGCCATCTGTAGGCTAATAGGCTTTTATGTAGAAAATGGTCCATTCAGTGACCGGCTGCATCCAATTTACCCCTCATCCGCGGGCCAGGATTGAATTACTTGAGCCACTTGGGCCACGTGATGTTCCTCAAGTCACGGAAGAATAGCGATTTCATTTTATGTTTGTTCGTAGTTATCATTTTTAATGGATCAGTCTAAAATTTTGAAATAGACGATAGTTTACCAGAACTTTATTGAAACAGTTTTAGCTCCTTCTTTTTTATTTTGTCAAAAGTTAAGTATGCTTATTAAGGAAGGTGTTTTTATCAATTTACTCAACAACATGTCTTTAGAAATAGCCACATCTAACAGGATATAAAACACTTTATTTGCCAATATATTCACAATGTCCAGTCTACTAGTATTCTTCAACAACTTGCACCATCCTTGCGATGTTATCCTCATCGCCATTCAAATTCCCTATTACTCAATTGCGGGCACTTATCTCGCTTCTGCGATGACAACGAGATGTAACAGAAATAGACGCCTATTTGATTGCTATTCTCGTAGATAGACAGCCTTCTAAATTGCTCATTAACGTTCATTTGTATCGTCAATTTAGATCAGGAATTTGTATTCGGTTGTATTTAGATGTTGAGTTGAACATTTCTGGGATAGGACGTTTTGTCTTGTGTATCGTTGTGTCTCTTCAAGACATTTTTAAAGTTTAATGCTACTGTCTCGCGGTTTCACCCGCTCTGTTCGGATCCTACATATCGTATCGTGTAGTCTTCCTCGATAAATGGACTAACAAACACAAAAAGAGTTGTTCTATTCGAACCAGTAGTTCCGGAGATTAGAGCGTTCAAACAAACAAACTATACAACTTTATAACATTATTGAGTATAATCTATATACTTAAAGTTGAAAAACCAATAAAATAACTGCTTAGTGAGTAGAGTCATCTATCAATGTGTCAACTATTTTTTAAAAAACCATTACCTTAATTTAAGTTTGAACAAGTCCTTAATATGTCATACTACAATTTGCTCCAAATATCCCTAATCCCACCCACACAACCTCTATACCTGAGCAACGGCCACCATAAAATGACTCGTGTGTATTACAGCCGACCCCTCCCAAGAAACCTCCACGGAGGAACTTGTCAGTGTCCCCCACCCACGCCAACTCCCCTTCTTCGGGGTATAGCTATGAGCTGAGACCCCACGCAAGAAGTCAAGACGATCTGGATGACATACAGGTAATTTTGTCACGTGTAGTGTAGATTTCTTTGATTATACGTCGTTTTTGTAAGCTTTCGAAGGATTTATACAGGTGAGAGTGTGTTGTAAAAGATTAATAAAATTGTCGTAGTTTTATAAAAGTAGATGATTATTTTTTCCCCTTTGCACTCCTCGAATTAAGGTTTATATTTTCTCCATATTTATTTATTTGTTGATTAATAAGTGCGTTTGAATGTTGTTCTAGAATAAGAGTTAGCCATAAAATATTCAAAAATGTATGAATGTTGCCTTAAAAATATATCTAAAAAGCCACGTCGTATTTTTCTCTTGCGGGTCAAGTGTAATGTTTTACTGTGGCATCGGCAGTTGAGCAGGTGAAGAAATGGATTTTTAGTTAATAAAGTCTGAAAATCCTTCTCGTCGTACCTAGGGCATGACGAGAAATTTCAATACATTCCCACCTCAAAAATATACTTCTAATTTTGAGTGTAACAGGCATTCAAAAATTCGGCGTTAAGGATTTATTTTCGAGGCTCTACTGGCTGAATATGGAGTCATGCGTAGTGCACTTGAATTTTAATGTGGAACGGTCAATGTTAACAATATTTAAATAATATGAAGTCACGTTTTCTAAATATGGTCATTTTATTCGTATGTAGACGTTTAATAAATAATGTTACAACTTGCAATCTAGGCCTGATTGGTATGTACTCATCTCCCTCTTTGTGGGTGATACTTAAAGATCTGTAGAAGTCACGCCAAAAATACGCCATTTTTACCTTCCCACTCGTTCCAACAGAAATGAAAAATAGTAGTAAATCACGTGATTTCTAAAAATAAAACTGTAAAAATGCAACTCAGGAGCTGGTTATGAAAGATAAGTCTCAAACAAACCCTAATATAACCAATTTCTTGTTGCAGGGTGCTAAACACTACCTCAAACACGGTCGGTCGGTGGACCAATACGTCGACGGCAAGCTATCTTATTCGGAATACGAAGAGAATCACAACTCACCTAGAGTAGCCCCAGTTCCTAACCCAAGGCCCAGCCTCAAACATCGCTCTCAACCCGTCGCCATCACGGCTATGTACGAGAACGTAGTCATTAAAGAACAAAACCCCAGAAGAAAACTAAGAAGAAACAACTTTGCCCCATCACATGACAATTATGAACCAAGAATGAATGACAATAGAGTAAGAAAGTATTCAAACCAAGAAAAGTCTTCCTTAGAAAGTCTCTTAGACGATCAGTCAATGAATAGTCCGAGCGATTGTGAGCGTTATTATGACGGGAAAAGGGCCTCGATTCCGTTGTCGCCAACGCATTATGAACAGCCACCGACTCCTGACCATCCACCGCCTTCGGCTAAACAGGCTGAGAACTGCATACACGAAAGGATCAGGCCTTTGAGCCAGGTTAGTCACAAATAGAGATGCTCTTTTATGTAGTCACCTAATTATTCTGTTCTTTCAAAATATGATCACTGTATCTCTTTATCAGTTAATCATGTACTTCTTAGTACTTCATATCGGTTCCTATAAACATTTTTGTTTTTGTGTTAAAAGGAAGATAATTGTCGTACCAAATATTGTAAATAAATTAGATGTAATATTTTTCTATGCATTTAGAGTGCCTTATCAATTTCACTTACACATGCAATATCTTCCTTTTAACCCTGTTTTTACAATGTAAAAGAAGTATATATTACTTATGTGACTAACCTTTACCTAATAATGTTACCGAGGAACCTTTATGAAAGTATGTCTTTCCACCTTTCCTATAAACACAGCAGAAGTAATTAATTGTATCATAACACATTAATGGCAATAGCACCCTTTATAACCAAGCACAACATCCTTGCATGAGCATGAAACTAGCAAAACTTAAATTTAAATAAAAAATAAATATTTTTTAAAACATTTCAGCTTATTATGGAGGTTGTAGAAGAGATAAGAATTAGACAAAAGTCCCAGGGTGATGTAGTCAATAGCTGATGTTAATTATATTATGAAATAAGCGCCCTAGTCGTTCGTCCCGTTCAACTCTATAGTCATCCCGTTTTATTGTATCGAAAATGACCGATGACAAAAAGAGACAACAATAATTTAATGTGTCAATGATATCCGTAATCACTTAATGGTGCTCGTAACGTTATTTTTTAAAAGTATATTAGTGTTTTTGTAAATAGAATATTTTATTTCGCTTAAGTATTCCGTAAGGTGCTATGTTTAGTTGTATCATAAGAATTGAAATCGTTTTGTGAAAATATAAATTATATTTCAACTTATGAATTAACGTAAACTCGGATTATTTTGGACCTGTAGGCTATCCAAACTCCCAATCCAACGAAAAACTTTTATATGTTTTTTTTCTGGATATTGGTCTAGGGGTTTGGATCAAAGTTACCCTGCAGGGTCAACGTAACCCAAACTTGAGGGTTTTTCCCCAACTAGAATGCATTTATGTTTTTCCAAAATATTGAAACCGTCCACATGATTCTATTCAATTCTTAATTGTTATAATATTAAATGAACCAATGAAATTTTGAAGCATTTAACTTGTAAACTATTTCACAAAACGATTTTAATATTTGAATATTCTAGTAAGTGTTAAATTTTACCTACATGACAGTATAATCAGTATGTAGTTGATTTTAATTAGTTTTTAATTCTATTTTCTTTCAATTTGAGTATTATTATATATTGTTAAAATTGGAAAGACAATCAGACTGATATTACTATACAAAATGTATCGTCGGACGAAAATGTGAAATTATTTTTTATTGTAAGTTTTATTATTTAAGGCTTCGTGTATTTGATTTCTTTTTATTTAGTTACGCAATAAAATATATTATTTGACTTGGTTTTGTTTTTATTTTTATTTGTTGCGTTTTATCTTTGTTTTGCTTGTTTTAGTTCGAACAAAGTATTAAACAATGTATTATTCTACCATAGAGGTCATATAGCTAATTTATTTAAGAACGCCTAAACAAAAGCGTGCAGCAATACGTAGGTAGTGTAGTTGTTGCTTTTAATTAAGTCCTACTGCGATGGATTTGTTACTAGGATTTCGAATGTGGTGAATTTTTTTTATTCCAATAGATTATTTAGATATTAGCGTCCATCTATTTAGCCGGGGATCGCGGGTCTTAGCGCAATAAGGTAACGCAGCCTCGGCCTTAAGCAGGAGAAAGAATGGGAGTTTTTAGTCAGTAAGTCTTACACTCCTTCTTGCCTCATTCTGGACGAGATCGTCATTCGATGATTTTTCCCTCAAAAAAGCGTCCACCTATTGGTTTGTTTGTTTCATATCATCAGTAAATGTTTCATAGCTACAGTAACGCCATCTAGTGAGCAAAGTAACAAAGTGATGATTATGATCGATTGAAATGTAAATCAAATGCCTTTCATCATTTAACATTGTTACCTAGAAATACTTGGCTATTATTATAAAAATACATTAAATGTGACTAAGATTGTGAATGAGAACTGAGAAATGGTAACTTTAATTCGGTTTAATTACTGCTGAACAAACTTCCATGCGCCTGTTCCTAATCTAAGAGCAATTACTTAAACTTACTACTTGGTTGCACCAAGGCGTAAAAGTTTGGAAGATTTAAAGTGAATATAAATATGATGTTAAGATAATATCAATCTTCTCATACATACAAAATTCTCGTGTCGCGTGTAGTAGTTACCTTACACCTCCGAAAAGGTTTTAATGACTTTTACCAAATTTTATATGCGTATTCAGTAGGTCTGAGAATTGGTTACTGGCTAGTTTCATACCTCGAAGTGATAAAGGTAATTCAACATTTTCATTTTTTTTAAAGGCAACACTATGTCTGCTGTTTCAGCTCGATAAAAAATATGAATTGAATATTAAAAAATATATAAAAAATCGTACGGTTACGCTATTTCACTTATTACTCTCAAGTATCATGATTTTGTATATAGATAGGTAGGCTAGTAGAAAGTTGACGTAGCTCCTTGGTTGGTAAAACCAACTACAAACAGATAGACGCCAAGCCGAGGCAAGCGCAATAAGGAAGGCAGAAGATAAGCACAACGGGTTTTCAGTCAGTAAGAGTCTAATACTCCCTCTCGTCTCATCCTGGGCGAGAGAAGTACCTTGATGACTCCCAACAAAGGATCGACTTTATAGAAGAAAAGAACGATCATTTATTTGTCAAACTTGTGTGTCGATAGACAGACAAATCAGAGACAGTCATATTAGTTATTGTGTTAATGATATTTTATGTTGTGACCTTCTATGTTTTGCGGATAGGCGTAAACAATTTAATAGGCATTTAATATTGATCTAGATTATTAATGGATCCTAAACGCGTTATACAGAACAAAACCTGTAATTCTACTTAAAAGTATTCTAAAGGTAAGTAAAACTTATTGCATGGCTCTTCGTTCGCTTGAACTTATCAGATAACTGTTCCTTTATTTGTTATCTGTTCGATATTATGATGTTCTAAAATTATATTAAAGCTGGCTCGCCTACTGTCTTTCTGCAATAAAATGCACTTTATTGCGTTATGATAAAGCACTGTAATCTCTTCCTATCATATTATTATTGAGACTATCGCCAAATTACTGATTCATTCGTTATGAAAACCACACCTTCTTTAAGACCGAGTTTTTATTATCACTTAGTTTCATTAATAAGACAAGGAATAAAATTAAAGTCCCTTATGTTCGAGTGCAATTATGGGTAAAGAATTTTCGGTTGGATTCTCCTGTAGAGTGAAATGGTATTAGAAAATGTAAGTCTTGTTAATAGGTTCGCCTTGCATCACCTAAAAAGTGTTGCATGGCGAATGGAGGAGGTGTGATGATATGACGTTGAATATTAGGAACTCAGAATACAGAACAAACCAGAATCCGCGTTCACTTATAATTACATGTCGTCAAATGTGTCCAAAAACAATACGTCAATCCCCCCGCCAGCCGCACTTCCCACCCGCGTAGTGTTGCCGATATTGGAACAATTCCCTAGCTTTGGGGTAATTTTACAACGGGAGGGTAAGATATGGGTAAATCCAACAAAATAGGTAAACTTACGATAAATGCAACAGACTAGTTGTTCACACATTTCACGATTACTGACTGTGTTAATTTTAGTTACACCTACTATACACAACAAATAAAACAAAGCTTCAATAAGTACAAAGGTTTTATTGCGTTCCCTTTTGCTGGTTTAGTTTTTATAATATGAATTGTCTTTAGACTCGGAACTAAAGATTAGAAGTCTACTTACTTTACTTAGTTCCTGAGATTAGCGCATTCAAGCAAACAAACAAACAAACTCTTCAGCATTATAATTAGTATAGATATATCTTAGTAGGAAATGCTGTTTTCAAACCACCTTTGTCATAAATATATCTCTTCAAAGTGAATTGAGCAAACTATGCTCTGGCTAGATGGTTTCCATAATTAATCTAACCGTGCCCTTTGTATGATTTGTATTTATTTTTTTGTCGACAGGGAAACTAATATGACATAGGCTACATAATGGACAAAAATATAACCCACAACAAATAAGGTGGGTAATATTTTTACCAAAAATGACAACACTCACAAAATGGCCGCATCATTTTCATAGAAAAATAAATCAATAAAAAAATTCAATAATTAATTGAATATACTATTGCAGTTATTGCAGTCGATGCTTGCAGATGAAATGTAATCTTATCCACTTTTTTCGTAATTCCAGTCGCATTTTTACTCGTAGTAATAACACAAGACGACTTAATGAAATTAAAATTGATACTCGTAAATACGTCACGACATGCCACGTGCCAAAATTGACTAATCGTAGAAATTTCATACTATTCTAGTTGAGAATGGTTTTAGTTGATTCAATTTGAAGCGCGATGACGCCTTCTGGTTTGTTCTGTATTCTGAGATTAGGAAGGAGTAAACTCTAAATAAATAAAGACTCAGAGGTAACGTTCTAGATAAATAAGATGTTCTGCGAGCCTTAATAACTACATTTATTTTAGTCTACCTACCTCAAGCGGGGTAAGTAAAAATCTGGTACTGTGTGCCATCCGAAAACGCACCATAACAATAACAGAATAGGGATATAAATGTCACAAAACAAAATGGAGCAAACAACTGAAATTCGAACAAAAAAATTATGCAAATTACTAGCCATTAATTTATATATTTCTTCCCAACAGGAATACAAAAGAAGATCGGCACTTCGGGACAGTCAAACTGAGACGGAGGTAAACCTCCTTCGAGCAGCCTCCGCAGCGTCAGTGGCCAGTGGCGCCACTGATAGAAGCGGAAACACTGATAACTGCGTCGAAGAATACGTGTGCGATGTGCCTTTCGCTGGTAAGTTGTTTTTTTTTATATTAGGGTAAACGTGCAATTTGTTCTATGAAGTCTCCGTGAAGAGTTTTATATCTTGCAGAAGAAAATGAAATATTTGAAGTGAAGAATTTAATGCTCATTTGTTTTAATATGATCTTCTATTACTGAATTATTTTTGGATGTTTCCTAGTTAACGTAATTTTAGATCACAAGATGTTTTCAGCTCAGCTCGTTTTGGCGGATCGAACATTTTCAGATCCAGTTTTTATTCTATTTTACCTAGTAAAATAGTCTATCAAATAGTAATGGAAGTCTTTAACTTTCCAATCGTGGTAATATGAGACAGAATAGTAAGACAACAGGTGCCCGAACGCCGGCACTCGCTCGGGTTTTGATGAATTAATCAGTTTTTTGATGATGATGTAAAAATTCAAAAAAAATATGTGATAATTAGGTAATAATCTTCTATTACTTGTGAAATAAGATCTTGGAAAGTCTCCAAAAGCCGATCAAGCTATCTTCAGATCTTTTATTCGTAAAATACGTTTGTTTTACAGTGCTATAAAATTATCTCTCTGATCTTTCATTGAGTCATGCAGTGCGTTTGTTTCGTACTACATCGCAGATCCCAATCTGAAAATAATCCGGAAGCGGCCGGTACCTACAATGGTATACAAGACGGCTTTACGACATATTCTGACGACTGTTGATCGTTACCAGAACTATAGAACGTTGCGAAAACTTTATCCTGTACCTACATTTACCTATGAAGGGATATGTTACTATTGCATGGTAACTGCCGTGACAAAATTTAATATAGGTATTATATTGAATTTATTGGAAATATCAAGTTACGTGCATTAACAGGCTATTAGTTTTAAATCAGAAAAGGAGTCTTATTATCATGAATACCGTGCGCGTCGCACCTGAAATGTTATTATGACTGATGTTGAGTTAGGTATAGTTATGTGACTATGCAGATGTTTACTCTGTGCTGTACAGGTTCAGGCAAACACACTATTACTAGATAACAGAT